ATATTCGATTTATTCAATTATTAATAACATTTAAAGAAAAAAATAAGAAGTTGCTAATATGTTAAATGATAATATTTAATAATTAAAATTAATTATTTAATTATATAATTTTTTTCGATTACGTCAAATATTTAATTCTATAAATATTTATTTCATATTCGATTTCTTAAATTAAGTAAAATATTTAATAATTGAATTACGTAAATCATTTATGTAATTATATTAATTTTAATGAAATTGGTAAAATATTTAATTATATTACCTTTATTAAATTACGTAAAATATTAAATTATATAAATATTTATTTATTATACCGTTTATTATATTAAATTTATTATTTTATATATATGTGTGCGCGTGGGCCGACTTAACAGCATGCCTAGAAATTTAGTGCTCTGGGCCAACTGTGGTCCAAGTGACAACCGGCCCAGATCCGTGAGTGAGAGCCTTCATTTTGATAAAATTAGGGTATTTTTGACTTTTTTTTGAAGTAAAGTTATATTTTTACCTTTTTTTTAAAAAATTTTATTTCTTAATCAAAGGTCATTTTGAAATTATGCATGAATGAAAAGGTTATTTCCTTGTATATCCTCTATAATTAGTGACAATAATAACATTTTGGTCGTTTGAAATCTTTCAAAAATTTGAGTTTTTTTCCTGAAGAGATATATGGCTTATCGAACCATAAAATCTTGTATCTCGTCTAGCTCGAAATGAGCCAAGCATTGACTCAACTCGACCTCCCTAAATTTGCACACTCTGTACGTGCTAGTTCCATAAAATTTGTGTTAGATTTGTAAGGTAAAATTGTTAGTTTAATTTTAAAATTAACGTAACGTGATGATCAATTAATTATTCAGTAATTCTTTAGGATCTAAAAATTTAAATTCTAAAATCGATGAATTAGCTTGCATATTCCCAAAATGACTTTGACGTAATTTTTGAATAAAAAGGAGGAAATTCTTCAATCAGATCTTGAATCTGGGCTGGTACTTACTTGTAAACTCGCAATTCTCGAGGAAAGATCGGAGACAAAACTGACAGCAGAAGGATCAGTAATTCCAAGATTTGATTTTGATTTTCTCCTGTTGTTGAATTTTTGGAACGCCAAAAATTGATTATATTGGAAGAAAAAGAAGAGAAATCAATTATAAGCTCGGATTCCTGTGTATATGGCGTACAGGAGGAGGCAGCAACAGCAAGTGGGTAGGGTTTCTACAACTCTAAGAGCAGATGTTACTGAAAGTTCGAAAAACTATAATCACGATTTTGCCCCTCCACCGACGGCGCCGGATGACAGTTCCTCGTCGTCCTCTTCTTCCTCGCTCGTCGCTAAAGCCATCAGAGCTTCGTCTGCGTACAGGGATTCGTCGCTTTCTTCGGCATATGGACAGTCCGCACTCTCTTCTCCTCGGGAGTCAATACCAGTTCTGTCCTCTCCATCCTCCAATAAGGTTAGACTTTTGCCTTTTCCCCTCTTAATTGTGGTTTGGTACTTCAAGAAACGTCAATATTTTGCTCTTCTTCTATTCTTAGTTTCATCGTGAGACTGCGGAAAACTGTATAATCAAAAGTATCTTTCTGTTTGTGATTCCTTAATTTGCTGACGTGTTAGTATGGGTTATAATACCCGTATTTGTTTCGCATGTTGGCACTTGCACATTACTGTTAGCAGGATGAGAAAATCTTAACCCATATAGAGGAATTTGGAGTGGTTTTACAATGAAACGAAGGGATAGCTTATGAGGTGATATTTTTTTAAAATAAAGTAGTTTTTAGGAGGATTTTCTTCGAAAGTTAGTCATTAATTTCACGAAGATGTCAATATGAGTGTGCACATGCAAATTTTACTTTTGGGTGATGGGTTTAGAATTTCAATGCAGAATATGGATTGAAGTGAATGGAGAATATGATATTGGATAGTAATGTCTTCTGTTTTATGTTAAAAGAATAAACTATCTTCAACATTTTATTGTATTGTGTGTTATGTTAAAAGATGAAAATGTACCTTGGTCTATGGTTTCCACTTGTTATTTCACCTGATGCTAAAGGCGCCTTTCTATTTAATAAAAGCATTGTGCTTTTATGCGAATCTTTATATACGAAGCATGCTAGAGTATCATTGTTATTTCAGAGCTAAAGATACATTTTGCACTAATAAGATATTCTGGTGGGGGGGGGGGGGGGGGGNGTGGAGTTTTATTGGTTTACTATAAATTCATCTTTGAAATCGACTTTACTTATAATTGTCTTGTCTCTTTATTGAGCTATTTTCAGTTGATTTGATCTGAGAATTTGAACTTTGTTATGTTTGATATTTGTGACTGTTAGGTATTCTTCTGCTGTTTCTATAGTATAATGCACAGCTTGTGAGTCTTCTATCAACCTGTATTCTGTGGCGTAATAATATTTTTGTTGTGGAAATATAGGATTCATCCGCTCATGAATACACATCAATGAAAAATATGAATGAACCTAAGCAAAGATTTTGGGGGGTGCTGGCTAGGAAAGCTAAAGCAATTATTGATGATGATAATGCAGCTCAACCATATGACACACCGGGAAGAACAAATTTTGAGACGTCAGATAAATCAGCAAAGGATCAGGTAAGAAGTTCTTGAATTAGAAAGATAGATTGCTCCTGTGAACAAATGCAAGAATTCCAAGACTGTCCATTTCGGGAATGCAGTGTTGGACCTATATTTCTACAGTTTGCACTCAACCAAAATTCCCTGCTTCCAATACTAGGAAAACTTCATCTTACTCTTGAAAATAGGCTGGTGGCCGCACCTATTTTCTCTACTATTAATTTATCAAATGTTCTATTCTTAATTTTGGCAAACATTCTGTCTTACAAGATTCATTGAGCTTTGTTTACAAATATATAATAAGAAATGTCTGGAGATACTGAACTCAGATTCCATTTCTTGTATCCTTGTTCTTTCGTTTGCACCAGAACCCATACAACTCTTCGCAAAGCCATCGAAAGACAGACAGCCGATCACTTCAGAAGGGACTAGATGCTATTGCATCATCTCTTAATTACATTGGTGGCACAATTGGTAATGCTCTTGAGGTACGTTTCTTTATGATTTCTAATCTGGAAGTATGGTAAATATGATCTTTTCATTTGAATATATAAAATAAAATTTTGCATGGTGGAGATCTTCACACTAGTAGATCATTGTAAATAATGAGGGCTTTGGCATCTTTCAAATACAACCAAATAGCATTAACTTTTATTTCTGAAAGTAGACTGTATGTTCTTCTTATTTGAACTTTTAAATTAATTCTGTCACACCGTGCCATGGTGGATTTTTTCACAGTAGTTGATCATTGTAAATAACCAGGGTTCAGTGTCTTTCAAATCCAACCAATCAATATTGTCACCTTGTGAAATTCCTATTGCTGTGACACCTAATAGCATTATCATAATTGTCTCCTTATCAATTAGCCCATTCAGTGCTTGCTGCAACTTTACAGTCAAAATGACCAGCACCACAAATTACATTTGGGATGATGAGAAAAGAGTTTGTTGAATTCGAAGGATAGTGCATAGATGACAGAAAATTAGCGAGACTATACTGAATCACTACTTGGTAGTCGAAAGAGCCACCGCTCTTAGACAATTATTACATTGATGTCACTGTCACCAGTCATGTCATGTATTATAGTTTTTGGGAAATAGAAATCTTTGCTATAGAAACCATCAAGGTCTTAAAATTATCATATACAAGTGCAATTGTATCTATAGTTACATCATACATTTGTGCCATACATGGTTCAAAGAGAAAATTCGAAAGTACTCTTCCTGTCCCGTTGAGTGCATGTCCTGTGGGTGCACAGTTTTTAAGAATTTGCAAGTAAAATGCGAAAAAGTTACATTATGATGTAGGATTATATATTTCCTGTAATGCAATTCTAATAGACGTTTACGAGACTTCTATTTTGATGCTTTCACTTTTTCATATAGATTAGAAGATGGAGAATATTATCTATCAGATCAGTTGGTAATCCTTTGCATTTTGAGTTCAGTTTAGAACAGAAGCGAACTTTCCTCAAAGAAATAAGAAAATTTTAAGTTCAATCCTTTTGACTTTTTGCATGAACATTCATGACTACACACATTGATATATCTATATAAAGTGGCCGGCATCCCTTTGTTGCCCATTTGATGAGATATAACTTTACCTTTCAGACGTTAGGATGTGGAGTTAGTTTCGGAATTCCGGACCTGTAGGATAGGTGCTTTTCCCGTTCAATAGCCGCCTTAAAAGGAAACTTGTCATAAATTTCTGACGTTTCTCCCCCTTCCCCCTCCCACGATGAAAAATAAATTGAAAATAAATAGTAATGGAAACAAAACAAATGGCAGGCTAACTGTTTCCCTTGCCTTTGAGGTGCATGTCGAGGAAATTTCTTCTATTCGTCACCAGACTAGCAAACACTTGGCTATACTGATTGTTGAACTATACTTTTTGCAGGAGGGTCTTACAACCGTGGAGAACCGCACTGCCGACATCATTCAAGAGACTCGCAAGATTCAGATAAGGAAAAAGAACAATAGTTCCAAATCACAGAATCAGACTTCTAATATTGATAGCTTACGGCAACAGCCAATGATGCAGACCCATACGCATACCGATTTGGAAACCCAATTGAAGGCATCTCGCGACGTAAGGTGGCAACTTTGTAGCACTGGCGTAAAAGTGACACTGTGCATGTCTAGTTTGTCCTTTTGCTTTACTAGTTCATGTTCAAGAAAATAAATTGATAATTCTATGTACCGTCTTAAGTGAAGTATGCATTGCACTAAATGTCATAAGGAATGTTCCATACTAATTGGCAAATCCAATATACAAATCATTTTTTTATATGTTGTGGTAGCCAATCCTGTGTGTTGCTATGAACTGGATGCATCCCCTAAAATTCCCAGAGACTTTCAGAGCTTATAGTTTTCTTGAGTGCTTCTGGCTGTTGCTGTTGATGTTGATGTTGATCTTGATCTTGATCTTGTATTCTTTCCTCAATGTTCAATATTTGGAAATATGCAATGGTTGCATTTGTCATCCTAATTCTTCTTCGTATCCTGTTTTGATTTTTCTTTTTAATTTCTATGGCTGCTACTTCCAGAACTAAAATATTTTTTTCTTCTGTTAGTGTTGTAGATTTCAAAATGCATTTACTTTGTTGCTTTCTTATAAAATTCATAAATTGGAATTGAGCTGGCATTTGGTTTGAAATGGTTGCCTTTTGACTATTGATAACTTTATTTCCACATTGTATTGTGATATAGTGCTATAATAATCTGGAAGTGGAAGAAATAAGAACAGGTGCATTAATGCTGTTGGTAGGAAGAGCATTGTAGCTGTTGAGAAACATGCATCTTTTAATATTTTGACATCAGAGTTGTCATACTATAGTGAGATGCATGATATGTCGTCTATTCTGGATTTCAGGTTGCAATGGCAATGGCTGCAAAAGCAAAACTTCTCCTGAGAGAGCTGAAGACGGTAAAAGCTGACCTGGCTTTTGCAAAGGAACGTTGCGCACAGCTAGAAGAAGAAAATAAAGTCCTAAGGGAGAGCCGTGAAAAAGGAGACAACCCAGAAGATGATGAATTGGTAAGTACAGTCTCAGGAACCTTGTTCTGACTTTACTCCTGCATGGAATATAATTATTATCCAAATCCCATGCCCTTCATTGTCACTGTTTTTCTATGTTCCCTGCATCTAGCATTCCTCGCTCTGCTGTCTATTCCACCACCCATAAGATCGCTATCTTCCATCAATTATCTTCCCCCATTTCCTGCATTTCAAGCTGTAAATCCCTCCCCACCCCCACCCCCACCCCCACCCCCACCCCCAAAAACAAAGGAAAGAAAGAAAAATAGAGTTCCCTTGGTAATGGTGTTAAAGTGCATTTATAGGCAATTATTAATATAATCGAACCTGACTTGCAAATCAAACCAACCACCCCCACCCCCGTAAAATGCACTTGTTGTAAGTTGCTAACTCTCCATCTTTGCAAGGCGCAGTTTCTATTTTATTTTTTCTCTTCTCTAGGTCATCCATGTTTCATAAGTATGTTTGTGCTTCAGTTATCTATGATTTCAACACATTCATAATATATCCTAAGCAAGTCTTGTGGAATATATCGTTATCAGATAAGGCTTCAACTTGAGACTCTTCTAGCTGAGAAAGCTCGACTGGCACAAGAGAATTCAGTTTATGCACGGGAGAACCGTTTCTTAAGAGAGATTGTTGAGTACCACCAGCTCACCATGCAGGATGTAGTGTATTTGGATGAAGGTAGTGAAGAGGTAACTGAAGTCTACCCGGTCAAGGTATCTACAGGCGATAATCAACAGCCCTTTGGCACATTAACATCCCTCTCTCCTTCTCCTTCTCCTTCTCCTTCTCCATCTCCTACTCCTACTGTTCCCACTGGGGCAATTTCACATGTGACTCCGGACGTCTCTCTTCGTGTTGTGCCATCCCTCGATTCCAAAGAGGTCCCTGAAACTATTACCTCACCAAACCCCTATATCCACATGCCAGCAGAAGATCTGAGAAGATACTGAGTGGATTTTCCTATTGTTGGCTTTGATTTGGTTTCCACTCCGTCGAAAAAAGGTTTGGAATTTGTATCAATGTTTCATTTTTTAATCTTTCGCTTTCATGGAAAGAAATTGTATATCTCACTGGTTTAACTGAGTTTACGGAGATAGTACATTTGATTATGATAATAATGTCATTTGTTCACATTGTTATCAATATTTGTTATATGTTCTCCAAATTTTAGATTATTCACTTTTAGAAATGGCAGTTTGAACAGTTACTTGCATAGAGCATTTCGAAATGCTCTGTGAAGTGCTTAAAAATTGTGTCATGACAAAAAAATTCGTTCAACTTGATATCTGCAGGCTTGCTTCGACGGATTACCTGCCTAAATGAGTAAATGGGACGGGGACAGGCCAAGGGTCATTCTCCCAAAGTAGGTAGGGAAACATAATTCATGTCTCGCTACCCGTCCAGTTTAAAATTAATTTCAAATTTAAATTTTTTTTCAAACAAAAATAAAAAATTTATTATTATTTTTAAAGAGAACACGAACTGTTCTCAACATGTTGGAAACAAATAATAATATTTGCTAATTAAGGACATAAAAAATAAAAACAATAAATTTAATAAATGGGGTGAAGACCTGCCTCGCTCCATCCCGTTTTAACCGGACATAGGAACGAGGCAAGTGACAAAATATCCAACGAGATGGGAGTAAAAATGGTCGATTCTTCACATACTCGTCCCGTTGCCATCCCTAGCAACATAAAATAAAATATTCGGTGTTTAAAAAAATTCATCTCTAGTATAAATTGACAAGGACTTTATCAAGCTAGATACAAGGTTTAAAGCTCCATCTAGAATTAGAAGTTTTGTTAAATGAAATGACTTAACAAAATTAATATTAAATTTTTAGATGCAAATAAGACATAATATGATTTTATTTTAAGAAAGTAAAAGAAAATGGAGATGTCAACTCAAAATACATTTTAGATTAATTTTAGACTCAAATATCTATTTATTAGACATTAAAGTCGCATAGACATAAAATCTTTCAACTTTTTCATTTTTTATTTATGAAAAAATTTATTCGTTCTATTTTTCTTAAGTTTTCTGGATAACATAATCCTTAGTGAGGTGATGTGTGATAAAAATAGTGCATATATCATTCTTTTGCGGGAAAAACTTATAAATTTTCGATTATATTTTAGGATGATGCTGTATGTACATTATCATTTATATACTTTTTTACACTTTGTCACATAGCAATATACCATTGGACAATTTTTTTCACCAAATCAACACTTGACAACATTTGTAATGTCAACAAAAGAGTGTACAAATGACATTTTCCTATATTTTAATATGTGATTATATAATCCATAGGTAATGGTGTCGAATTCAAGTAGTATTATCACAATGGCAGCAAAAGAAGAGTTAAATGTTTGAGTGGCTATTGAATTTTATTATATTTCACGGCTTATCCACTATACTTCTTAACATTTTCCAATGGCAACTCAACTTTATTCCGTCCAATTCCATTGGCCTCCGGATGGAATTCGTTAGTTAATTTGTCTACTTGGATGACGGTAATCTGACGTGACCGTCAAATGTTAAGTTAATTGCCGCATCAACGCCATGTCAGTTGAATCCAAACACGCCTTTACCATGTATTACAAATTGAAACGCGACTTTTCTTCCCGAAGGCAAAATCGTTTCTGTGGAAGTAAATGAAATTGCCCTAAATTGAAACCCACAAACCCTAAGGCGAACCTGGCAATTTTGCCCCAAAAATTCGATCCACATCTACATCGACAGGTTCATGGATCCACTGATTGTTACTGGGTTTCTTCCATCTATTTTGCGGTTTTTGGAGGAGGAGGATTCTGTTCCTTATTCTAGAGATTTTAAGAAAAAGCCCATTTTTGTCAATGGAGATGATGAGGTATATGTATCTATAAATATTTCAAGTTCTACCGAAGTTTCATACTCGGCAGTAATATTTATGGTTTTTTTAATTAAAATTCTTCTTGAACTTAATTTGGAAATTCTGGAGATGGTGCATAATAATGAAATTAACCATTAGAAAATCCTAACTTGCTTTCTTGAATTTGGGTTCATTGTCACCGATCAAGCCTTTTCTTCTACACGGTTATCTCCAAGTTTGCAATGATACTTCTTTTGGTGGCTTTGTTGTCGAACATTTACACTTTTTGATTCCTCTAACATGTTTTTTAGGAGTGGAAGACCTGTGCAGCTGTGCTGTGGGATGTAAGTTTGGATTTGATTCTGGTAAGAAGCCTGATGCTGCATTGGGCTCCCTTAGCAACCGGGCACTCTAGCGTGATTCACTTAATGGAGTCAGCTTTATTATGCTGGGATATGGAAGTGGATGACTTGGAATATCCGTCAAGAGGAGTTGTTGTCGTCACAATGTACATCAGATGACGTGGAAGTTAACTTTCAAGAAATGGTTGACAAATTACAACAACGGATGAGGCTGAATCGTCGAACTGGGAGCGGCGAGGGCACGGAAAAGAAGAGTTGCAAAGACAACAAGAGCTACATCCGTTCGGCGTAAAGACACTGATAGTATTGGCATGTTTCTCTTTTGATGTATATCTCTGCCAATGTTAATTGTAAATGGTAAATTTGAGTACTAGCATTTGTAAACTTCTTTTGATAGTAATGTTAATGTTAAATTTCTGAACATGAGTACGACAAGAGATACATCCGTTCCTGTTTATGTAAATTTCTAAGTTTGCGAATATACATAACTTGGCTCTTTGATTTGTCTCAGTCTTTGCCTTGTGCAGGTATTTCAAAACTCATAGAAAAAAAAGCTAGAATTGGGTTTATTTTATCCTGGGAGCATATTTCAAATCATTCTTGTCTTCCCTAGCATATTGGTGATAATACATATGAAGATTCTTGAGCATGAAATTGTGGCATGACAATAGAAACTTTAATAAAAGCATTGCAACTAACGTTTAGAAATTAATAACTTAAATTGACACTGTAAAGATAAATTTACACGAACTTTCAACATAATCAACATATACCCAACATCATGGCATAGCAAAGCTAAACGGATTGTACTTACTACAACCGTTTACCACATTTGGATGACGAGGAACATGAAGATTTTTGAAGACCTTACACCACAAGTTCATAGTGTTGTACGACGAATCAAAACACACTTATACAAAGTCATTTTTTCTTTGTATCCGAATGTTTTGATTCATTACGAGTAATTAGCTATGAGTCAATAACCATATCATTTGTACATCATTTCTTTTGTTTGTGTTACTCGAGTATACCCGTTGTAGTTGTACTCCCTATTTGATTGTTGATTCGCCCGGGAATGCCTGGAGTACTTGTATATGTTTTTGATCAACGAAAATTTTATTTACCGACCAAAAAAAAAAAACATACACCAAACATAATTTATAACCAAATTTAGTACAGATTACATCCTTCCCGTTTCCCTTGCGGATAGTTATGTTCAGGGATATCTCCACGTCCACTTTTTTGGATATTTGAGTAAATCTCGTGAAGATAAATGACAAATCTTCAATCGGATCTTTAGGCGTACATTTACCCAAACAAACACACCCCGATTCTCGACTAGACTCATCTTCAAATTGCAATGGTTTTTTTCCCAGATGAGGGAACATCATTCCAATCGAAAAATAAAAGATCGTCAAACGAGTCCAACTATATCATACTGAATCACTGATACACACGAGATGCATCAACTAGAGAAAAAGATCAATATAACCAGAGATATAAGTTTCCTTGCCACCGCAATTACAAATCAAAGATCAATATAGAACAACCATGCACACATAAATTTAGAATATGGAAAGACTCTCTAAATGCAAACAAAATTCTACTGTTATACATGCCATACAGCATTTCCATTAATTTTCTTCAGCTCTACACAAACAAGCTAATATAATCACCTCTTCCATCACGGTTCCTACGACAACCACCTTAAGAATCAATGTTGATTTATCTAAGGGAAAGGCACAGAGCAACTAATATTTCCAGTCACTACTCTTACGTAAAGGCGTAGTAACTCCCGATTCCCAATCTCAAATAAATATCAGATGGAAGAAACCCAATAAACTGTGGAAGATGTGCAAGAAACCCAGTAAATTGATGGAAGAAATTCAGTAAACTAAGAAAAATGGACGAAAAACTGGAATAAAGACTGCAAAAAGGATGGAAGAAATCCAGTAAACTGTCAGTGGATCCATGAACCTGCAGGTGTAGATGCGGATCGAATTTGGGGCAAAATCACCAGGTTAGCCTTAGGGTTTCATTTACTTCCACAGAAATGAGTTTGCCTTCAGGAAGAAAAGTCGCTTTTCAATTTATAATATATGGTAAAGACGTGTTGGATTCAGCTGACATGGCGTTGACGTGGCAATTGACGGGCACGTCAGATTATCGTCATCCACGTAGACAAATTAATTAACGAATTCCGTCCGGTGGCCAATGGAGTTGGACGGAGTAAAGTTGAGTGACCATTGAGAAACGTTGTGAAATGTGAACTACAGTGAGTAAGTCGTGACACATAACAAAGTTCAATGACTACTTAAACATTTAACTCGCAAAAGAACAAAAGTGTTTAATGAATACTTAAACATTTAACTAGCAAAAGAACAAAAGTAACAGACACATTATTTTGTGTGTTACCTTTTAAAATTACTTTTCCTGAGAATAAGAATAGTTATGTAGGAAGTGTTACCTAAGATTTGTATGATATTTCATAATTGGGGAAAGTGGTATTGCAATCCATCCACACATTGTTGTCTGAGGCCCAACGTGCACTGCCATGTACCTTTCAATCAGGCGTCTGGAGTATCCTATGCTGCTGCATTCTCTCTCTTTATTCAATTTAGGACCTGATTAATCATGTGCGCTTATCTTTTTGCTAATTTGTGAGCATTGTCGATGAACAGCCATCTATGTTACTTTGTCGTTGTTAAATTGAGTAACAAGACATTGTCAAACTAATAATTATGCCTAAAATAAAGACCGAGTCCTATTTTAGAGTATGCATCTCGATTTTTTTTAAAAAAAAACCAGACAATCTTCCCTTACAAACAGGGATATGGACACCATCATAAGAAGAATATTTTTGCTATTTTGTCAATTCTTGTTAAAGTACAAGGGCTTGATAATAATTTTGTTTAGATATTTGTTGGTCTAGAGGGGCATACTAGGATTAAATATGTTTAGATATTTATTGGTCTAGAGGACAAAATAGGTCTAGATATTTGTTGGGATAGTAGGGCATACTAGGATTAATATTGACTTTGCGTCGACACCTCTTATAAGTAAAACCTGAGGTTTAATATTAAGAATTAAGGGTATGTTTGATTGCAAAGGTAAAAAATGTGTGGAAAGAAAATGTTTTATACGAAATTGAATTGTCTAAAGAATGTTTTACTGGGAATTGTAATTATTTGTGTTTGATTGGTATATAATTTTCTACCTGAAAAATGTTGAAAGTTTGGTATTCGTTTGACTTCATTTTTCATAGAAATTGTCCATTAAAGTGATAATTTTTTCTACCATTGAGTCTAAAATTTGTTCTAATTGCCAAAAAAATTTTTTAATAAAAATTAACATACCTAATATTATTCGTTTGTCTTTGTTTTGCATGAGAATTGTCAATAAAAGTGATAAATTTTTTTACTATTGTGTATAAAATTTTTCCCAATTGCCCAAAAAAAAACCGACAAAGCTGGAAAATAAAAATCCAGCTAAACCAAGGGAAAACATTTTCATTGATTTACAGGAAAATGAGCGCGTGAAATGGCGACTGTCAAAATGAATTCCCAGGAAAAAGTTGACAATCAAACGTGCTAATATCAAACACTGTCTAAGTATAATATTGTTTACATTCTTCTGGACATTCACTCTATGTTTCAAAAACTGGACAATGGTATGATATGATGTTGTAGAAATCAATGACTTTAATAAATGTCATGTGGAAAGTGTCAAATTTAACGTAAAGAAAAATGCACTACAAGTACATTATTTTTTATATCAAGTTTGACATTGTGCCACATGTTGCAACACGATTGACTAGTTTGAAAATACAACACACTTTCCCGCTACTCCATTTTTGAATTTGAAAAGGAGTGTGCAAGGAGCATAATTCTTGTAATATTAAAATGCCAATTCTATCAATTGAGTAGTTCAAATCTTTATATGTTGATCTACATTTTGAAATTTAATAAATGTGGAATTTATTATTAACGTGTTCTCATTGGTTCGTTTGAGCAAATCAATCTTAAAATTTTTGTGATCATTTGATACTCGATCAGATCAATTACTCGTTGGATCTTAATGAATTTCGGTACCATATTAAATTTGTAAAGGTTAATTTTATAAAGTGGAGTATCTCAATTTCTTAATTTTCAATGCACTAAATTACACAAATGCAATAAGACCACATTTGTAGGAATGGGCAATGTTTCGTTGTAACACTAACACTTGGAATACACTACCAAGTACCTGCATACTCTTCTAACACATATTTGACATTTTAGAGGCATGTTTGATATATAATATTGAATAGTATATGGATTAAAATTTTAATTCATTTTCTTTAATTATGTTTAATACTGTTAAGTTGTATAATAGACATGGATATTTTATGAAATTCCAAGGCATTTTTTATTCTGTATGAATGACTTATGTTGCGATGATAGATTTGACTTTTTAATGTTACAACGTATATTAAATTACGTCGTTGTAACGAAGTTATGAATAATTTAGCGTTGCACCAATCTATGTGTTTTAAATGGGAATTATATTCTTACTTTTAAGATTATTTATTAGTTAATGACACTTAACTTAATTTCTTAACTTAATTTCATAATGATTTACTTATTTTTAATAGGTTAACATATTTGAAGAAAAAAAGTTAGGTAAATTTTTGAGGACCACGCACAAAGATGGCGCGTAGCCGACAAATTTTACATCTGATAGACTGTGCTGATGAATGCATTGAAGCCTTAACCAACACAGTACACAATCTTACATAAGAGGCCAACGCCTCCTCAGCCCCCGCACTCCCACCCCTCTCTCAACTTGTGCATATATATGTATCTACCCCCAGTTAAGCCTCCAGTTTCACAATTTTACCTCATTGCTTCATCTTTTACTCCATTTTCTTTCAAGGATTTTCAGTAGAAGATAGGCAGTGTTCTACTGTATTCTTTTTTTTTTTTTTTTTTATCATCCCTTATTTCTTGATCTTCTTCGGTTCTCTTCTCTATAGAAAAACCCTTCTTGTTAGTACATGTATTAGTCATGTCTAGTTTGTATCCTCAAAATTTGAACTTTTCTCCTGCAAGAAGTGTTCCTTCTCCACATATAAGGAGCAATTCAGATGTTGAAAGGTACTGCCCATTTGTTTATGAATTTAAGGTATTTTTTTTTAATGTTATAAAATCTGAAAATCCTGTTCTGATGTGTAATTTTGATTCTTTAATAATGTTTTAAATTTATTTAGTCAGCACTTAACAGAGCTACTAGCAGAGAGGCAGAAGCTACAGC